AATCACTTGTTTGACACGGTTAAATAGTTAACTGCTTTTGTACATTGCCCAAAAGTCTGACGACGAGCTGGGGATCCAGACTCGAAAATTTACTCATTAAAGTTTATTCCCTTCCCAAAGAATCTTACTTATTTTCAATTAAGTTTCTTGGGATGCCCGTTTTCCAATATATATATATATATATATATATATATATATAGTAGGAGGGCGTCCACCTATCGTTCCTACAGAACTCACTCTTTCTCTTGTGTCTTAGGGACCCTCTTTGGAGCCATTTAGCAGCTGCTCAGCGGCTCATGACATAGGCAGAATCTTATTACCGAGTTCGAGCCCCAGGTGTTCCACACTTAGTGGTTGGGTATGACTATCTGACGACGGCTATGAAGCCAGAAGTGGCCATTCTAGTCTCCCATGTCTTTGTCGGTAATAAAATTCCGCCTATATATATATATATATATATATATATATATATGTATATATGTGTGTGTATGTATATGCATGTGATAAAAATAGAAGGGTCGTTGGAAAAAAATCGAGTTTTACCCGTGATTTTCGAACTGGTGACACCAACCCGTCGTCAGACGAAACAAACACCGAAGTGAGCAAAATTGTCAATATAAATTGGTTGGCGCGACAGGCGAGCTATTGACAGGCAAGCAACTAGTGTGTGAAAATAGTGGGCGCATAAGTAGGCTAGGAGGCGGGAAGAGGAGGGGAGACTATTGCAGCTCCCTGTCTTGAAATGTAAACGGGATGACGATTTAATGGGACTGCGGCCAGCGGAATTGATGATCATCAGTCCGGCATGTGGACAGAGGTCAGTGAGCCAAAGTAGAGGTGTTTGGGATTGCAGTTGGGGTTAGATGTGTCTGGGGAGGGATTGGCAAAATATCGACACCCTACATGGCCTCAGTCTGGATTATCGACTGCCGTTAGTTCGTGGGCGCAAGTCAGTGATCCGGACACGCAAACCTTCGTGCTGAAAATCCAGCTCGACATGGCGATTGATGCTTGTCGTGTTAGAGTGCCATGCTTCGAGGAATTCTCGAGCCTGTCTGGTTTTTGCCGTGGCATCAACTGCAGTTCCTTCCCAATTGAAGCGATGATCGCATTCAAGGTTGTCCGCAAACACGAGTGACAAAGGGTCATGTGGGCGGATGGCTATTACATATTCGTTCATACGCGTCCCTATTCGTCGGCCTGTATGAACAACATAGTCGCAAACACAGGTGGCACATGGAATGCACATATGCAGTCAGGAGTGAGCGCATACCGATTGTTTTACTTCCCGAAACCGACAAAGTTTGAATGGGTCACGAACAGACAACCATCTGCCAGGCTGAAGTTGGTTATGCTATGATAACAGAAGACAGGCAACATATTTTGGGGCATAGTAGCGTTTTGGACCTGTTTGCCCTAACTCAACCACTCGTAATCCTGACAATCCAGCGGACACAACGGAGTAGGGGGTGAGGTTCACTTTGAAATCCTATGGACTCAGATGCATGGCATATTATCCACAACAACGGAGAAAGAGGATTACTTAAAATCAGCGTTCGCGAATATTTGCTATAAATTCCCTGAACAAAATCATGAAGAATATGTCAACCCACAAAATAACATCTGGAGAAACTCAAGGATTACGTCAAAACCATGAACGAATCATTATCATACCGGACAGAGTTCCTAGTCTCCTTTTAGTATATTAATGTGTTTACGTTTCGAAGATTGAATCAATCCCACCTGATGGCAATAAATTGAGAAGAGAGGCATAACAAGGAACAACTCGGGACTGCGTAAATCCAACTTACAAATGTCTTTGAAAAATTAATGACCAAGACTTGTTTAGTTAACACGAAATAAAAGCGCTTTCACTTGCAGACACTGTATCCATAAGACTATCTGTTTTGCCAGAGATTCAAAAGCATGACTTTTCGATGCGGCCGGTATTCGCCATGTGCAGTTTACTCTATCACGCAATGAAAAAGTGACTAGCAGAAAGGCTTAGACCGATTTGACACAAAATAACAACACGTAGATTAAGGGATACGTTTTAATTCGCCGATTCTATAAAAAACTACAAGTCTCAGTGGGAACGCGATGTTGTTCTTAGGCGGCGTATCTTTTACACTAATATCCTTCTCACATAAGATGTGAAAATTTCATGCGATAAGATAGAAAGGCAGAATTTCTTAATCGACATGCCTGTCGATTAAACAAAAGAATTGTTTTTTTCCCTGCAATTTATGTTTATAATCGTGATTTTACCGCCAGATCGACGAAACAGTGATGTCTTCATGAAGAAGCAAAGGTAATAATAAGCCGTTATTTCTGTGCTCGGTTTGTTGATGATAGCAGATGAAAAGTTGATTTGAACACCATCTAGATTATGGGAAATAGGTTTACTTATCGTTAGCTTTAATTTTGCCAAAAATAAAATCGAACGGCAAATGCCTCCCCTTTAGGGTAAGGCGATTCCATACTACCAGCACAGGTACTAGCAAAAGCCCATACACGCCTGTTTAGCCGATATTCTGCCGCTGCATGACACGACTGCGAGGGGTTCGACTTCTCAGAAGGAATGCTGGGAGACACACTCACGAGTCGAACACCTCGCAGCTGTATCATGCAGTGGCAGAATATCGGCGAAACACGCATGTATGAGCTTTTGGTTAGTATTTGTGTTATTACTATGGAGTTACCTCACCCTAAAGTATACTACCAGCTACCTGTCTGCAGTTAATGAATATTACGCGGTTACTCGCTGTAGCTGATGGACTTTGGCCCAAATATTAATACATAAGACCTTAAATATAGTGATCTATTCCAATTTCGTAGTTTATTTCTAAAGGAAATTAAAACGCTGCAATGTCCATCCCTATTTGGACGTCCTACTCCACATAACTGCCGATAGAATTATTCATAGAATTATATTTCTTAAAAAACATGGGCATATTAGTGCGCAAAGGTCTACCTGTTTTGCGTCGCCAAATTAGAAAGGAAACGTATCCTGCTTAGTCATCAACCGATCTAGGAGAATGTGTACTGCAGCTAAGACAGAGAACGGGTTCACTCTTATCCTACACATTGCTGTAAACTAGCTTTCGAAAAACGCTTGTCTGTAAATATGCACAGAAACTTTCCGGAAAATCGGACGTGTCGGTGACTGAGAAGAATTTATTTCTCATGCTGCCATTTCTGGGCCATGCAAATATCGGACGCTGCTATCACGCACGCACTTCACCGTTAAGTCTGGTTTTCCCAAACACTCCATCTCCTCGCCTTAAACGTTAGACTAGACTGGCTTCTCAGACTTCATTAATGCGCATGCGGCCCTTCACTTGCTCCCGTGGGGCAGGTTACATTGATCAAACAAGTGGTTGGCTGTTCAAGCGGATGCAAGAACACTACCCTGTCTGGATAAGTCGATGAATGGAAAGCCCATTTTCTGCGAAATTGTGACACACTTGGTTGACAGCAACCATCTGTTGGACGTCAACTAGGCATTTAAAGTAATCTATAAAGTGACGGCGGTAGGCTTCAAGTCCCTGCATCAGCGTATACTTGCGACGACAGGGGCAGTAGTCAAAAGGTTGGGTTAAGTAGCCTTCTGCATGCCAAAAGGGTTTATACAGGACTTATTGCTCCCTTGTCCAAAGCTAAACATAGTAAGTATGTCTTGAAGAAGGTAATACGATCGCCGCGACAAGAGCTTTATTAGACTGACGTTTCGGATTCCTACTCGAATCCATCATCAGAGACATCCCTTTTTACTTTTATTCCCCAGGACCTGGCGACCGAGACAATTGTGCTGCTACTACAAAGTAAATACGATGAAACGGAGAACCGTCTTGGAAACGCCCAAGTCCTTTAACTCCTGAAGCTCTGTCGCAGGACGTACTTCACGTTTGACGGGACAATCTACGAACAGGTGAAGGGCACACCAATGGATTCGCCGATTTCGGGATTCATCGCCGAGGCGGTCCTGCAACGGTTAGAGTCGCTGGTCTTACAACACCACAGACCGAAATTCTCTGCCCGGTATGTGGATGATACCTTCGTCGTCATCGAACGGGATCAGGTGTTGGCATTCCAAGAACGTCTCAACGCCGTCTTCCCGGACATTAAATTTACGATGGAGGAAAAAGAGAACAACCAGCTGGCCTTTCTGGATGTCCTCGTATAGCGCAAAGATTGTGGTGAACTAAAAATCAAAGTGTTCAGAAAAGCGACAAATACGATGCAAGTACTGTACTTCAACAGTCACCACCCAATCAGCCACAAGAGCAGTTGTGTAAGAACGCTCTATCGGTGTGTCGAAACGCACTGCAGTGACACGGAAGACCATACTGCCGAACTACAATACCTCCGACGGGTCTTCAAAGCCAATGGCTATCCGCGCAACTTCGTCGACCGGTGAATACGCAAAAAGGACGAAAGGCCTAACCGCACGGACACAAAACCTTGGCGGGCACTTTCGTATGTCAAGAACGTTTCGGAAGCTGTCGGCCGCCTTCTCGCACTACTTGGGGTTGGAGTGGCACACAGCCCGGAAGCAACCATTAGGCGCCAAGTCATGAGGCCAAAAGACCCGCTGCCACGGCTAGAAACGTCTGGAGTCATTTATCGGATCTGGTGCAGTTGCGGACAAAGCAACTACGTCCGGAAGACAGCTCCGAACGAGAATTGCCGAACACGCAGCAGCGGTGCGCAGAAATGACGCCAGCTCTCAAGTTGCGGCTTATTCGACGGGTTCCGGCCACACATTCAAATTCGATGAGGCCGACATTCTCGCAATAAATGACAACCGTGTGAGCCGGGAGCTACTGGAATCATGGTTTACTGGCCCCGAATCCATCAACAAGTGCAACGAGCTTCCCATTCCACACGCCGCGCGAAAACTTCGCCTAGGGGGAGTAACAAGCCATGAGGGGAGGGCAGAGGTGAACACTCCCGACACCGGGGTCGGTGCGTCAGAAGGTTGAGCAATCATCACGCCAAAATCCAACGCACGTGATGAAACTGCAGCAATTATCGACTCGAATGTCGGCCATCAAGCAATGATTACACCAAGGGCGACGATCCCGGATGAAGAGGGGAGCCGTGAATGTTCATAGGTATGTGGTTGCGTGGCTACTGCATCCTTTAAATACCGCAGCTGCTTGTCCAACAACCACCCGTTTCTGTTTTTTTGTCTCTCATGATGGATTCGAGTAAGAATCCGAAACGTCAGGCTAATAAAGCTCTTGTCCCGGGGTTCGTGTCTCCTTCTTCAAGACTACTTCCTGGGACTAGTCTCTTCGCTTCTATTGACAGTATTTAGTTTCCCAATCCCTGTCACCTCGCCTTACAACGACGAAACAGAGATAAAACTGACAGATAGAAGCGAACAGACGAGTTCCAGGAATCAATCAGCAGACGAAGATGCGATCACTGGAGCAAGAAATGTATGGTCCTGAAATTTCAGATTCTCACTCGAACCGATCATCAGAGACAGTCGCGGATAAGGGTAATGGTGGCACAAGGAGTGCGGTATTTGTAGTCCGTGATTGCCATGATACTTTATGTGTACTGTGATTAACAGCTCTCGCATTCACTGCTGGTTTGTCGGTCTGCGTCCGACTCGTTAATTGCCACGATTTCTTCATCCGTGTAGCATGTTGGTTTGAGAACTGCTTGGCGATTTGACTCATTGTCACTGGAATAATTGCTTTTAACGTGTCTGAGCCCCCTGCCCAGTGAAAATCGCAGCACGGAATAGGGTAACGGAAGGTCATGGCGCTGTTTGATGGATTGCGGGCCTGAAGACCATGACTCGGGCAGCTCGCGGCTCACGTGGTTGTAGCACCTTGCAAGGATTTCGGCCTCTTGAAACTTGAAAATATGGCCGTGTCCCGTCGAATGAGCCTCCACATGGAGCTAGCGTCTCCTCATATCACTGCTGCTGCGTGCTCGGCTATTGCGTACGGAGCAATCTCTCAGTTTTTACGACGTAGTTGCTTTGTACGCAACTGCACCAGATTCGATAAACGACTCCAGGTGTTTACTGCCGTGGCAACGGGTCTTCTGGCCTCATGACTTGGCGCCTGATGGTTTCTTCCGACCTGCGTGCAACCCCAACTCCGAGTAGAGTTAGAAGACGACTGGCGGCTTCTGAGACGTTCTTTACATACGGAAAAACGCCCTAAAATTTGAGTCCGGTTGGATTTGGTCTCTGGTGTCGTTTTCTTGAGCACTGGTCAGCAAAGTTGTGCGGGTTGCCTTTGGTTGTCAGTAACCTCTCGAAAATATTATAATTCAGCAACCCTGTCTTCTGTTTCACTTTATTACGTCTCAACTCGCCGGTTTAGCGCCCTTACGAAACTGTGTTTGTGCTTGATCGTGTTTTTGCTGTTGAAGTTCAGTATTTGCGTCGTAGTTGTCGCTCTCCTGAACACTTTGGTTTGTAGGGTCCCACAATTTTTTCAGCAGACGAGGACATCCAGGAAGACCAGATAGTTATTTTGTTCATCCCCCATCGTAAATTTTATGTCCGGAAAGACCGCACTTAGACGTTCCTTGAGTGCCAGCAGTTGATCCCGGTCGATAACGACGAAGGTATCATCTACATACCGAGTCCAGAATTTCGGTCTGTGGTGTCCGAAAACCAGCGACTCCAGCCGTTTTAGGACCGCCTCGGCTATGAGTCCCGAAATCGGCGAACCGATTGGCGTGTCCTTTACCGGCTCGTAGATTGTTCCGTCGACCGTAAAGTACGTCTTGAGATAGGACTTAATCATTTGGATAAATTGGACGAGTCCGAGGCGATTCACGGTTACGTCGTTTTTTTCGCTCGTAGGAGTTGTTCGATGGTCTCGACTACCAGGTCCTGCGGGACGTGACATCGAACACTTACCGCAGTGACAGTGAGTCAATTTGCCGAGTAATCACTATATGTAGAAATCGTGGCATTTTACGACTCCGACGCGGACTGACAAACCACTGTCGCATCAATTACGACCCCAGCCGTGATTGCGAGAGTGAGAATCCCAAACGTCAGGCCAATAAAGTTCTTGTTTTAATGATCGCATGTTCGTCTTCACTACTGACAGAATACGACTTTAATCTTCTTCCTCATACTCGCTGTTTATGAGCAATTTAGCCTTCTACCACTCTACCCTGTACATGCATGATAATGAATAATCAAAAGTGAAAGTTTGCGGAACTTGACCTCTTAGAAGATTTATTTTGGCGAAGACTTTTTCGTCATTGGGACGGGTTATCCGGCGTCCGCATTCCTATTGCAGCGACTAACCTATAAGTGTTTGCTTGTCAAGCGCTACAACCATCGGATCAAATCCTGGATTGTAAGGAGAAGACAGCATTTACCAGGATGAAGGGTTCATCGTATCTGGAACCCAAGTTGTTCTCTCGGGCGGCAGTCGCCGCTGGGAAATTTAGGGCTTGTGTTGACTGCGGCCAGTCACGCCTGAGAGTCTCTGGAACGGTGGTGGCAGTCGTTTTCGTAGGCCCGTGGGCCGAACTCCAGTGGTCTCTAATCGGTGAGTACTGCATTTGGCGAAGTATGGTGCCCCAGTGGCGTGGGTTAGGGATGCAGGGGTGGGGTGGGGGGGGTGCGTTTACGTGAGCGCATGGGCAGCTGCGACTCTGTAGACGCAGGTGTGTCCGAGCTGAAGTCGGTCGAGTGGCTTCGAATCAGTGCGTCTGGAACGGGTCGCCGTGACGCTCAGTGACTTTGAGGCAACAAGTCTTTAGACAGTGGCACCAAACTGGCCATTATGGCCGCTCGTAACCCCATCTCTTCCATCTACCATGTAGCCGTTGGTTGCGTGTGCTTGTTAACCACATGCGGATGGCAATAAGTGGCGCGCCTACGCGGCGTGAATACGTACAGTAGGTGGGCTAACTCATGAAATGTCGACCGAAATTCCGAAATGCGTTTTCCTTTCGAACAGATTAATCATCAAATAGCATTATTCTATAACAATTCAGTTACCTCTGGATGCTGGCCTTTGCACGAATTTCTTTCCGCTAGCATAAAAAGCCATATTCTGCAAAGAATGACTACTTAAATAGCATACATTTTTTCCATTGATTTTCGATGCCCTTAAAAATTCGACTTATTTCGTGGAAAGCATGCATAACACAATTCATTGTTTTACTTATTCGGTAGAAAATGACAACTTCTTTCAACCATATACTCGAAGAAAGGGTATAGATCGTTTTTACAAAGTTTCCAATTATGAGATTTTCTGATACCTTGAAATTGCCGTTCATAAAACGTCATGTCTTTGCATTTATCAATGTGTCTCGTATTGTTAACTACGTGGCTCGAATCGACTGCTGAATTTTATGAACCCCATATTGTGTCCACTTAATACGGTAAAGAAATGTATGGTTTTCTATACGCGGAAAATATATTTTTTGTAATTTTGAAACCCTGAATGCGAGTGTAACGGCAGGTCAGGTAGAAAATTATTCGGGAATCGGAAAAGTTTTGAAAACCAAATTATACACCTCTTTCGAATAAAAAATCGGAAGATGTAATTTTATACCTAATGAGTAAAAGAATGAATTGTGTTTTGCACGTTTTCCATGAAGTGTAATTAAATTTTTAATGGCGTCGAAAATCAATAGGAAAAATGTATGCTATTTAAGTAGTCATTTTTTGCAGAATATGGCTTTTCATGCTAGCGGAAAGAAATTCGTTCAAAAGCCAGCATCCTGAGGTAACTGATTTATTCTAGAATTATGCTGGTGGATGATTAGTTTCTCTAACTCAGTTAATCTTTTCGAAATGAAAACGCATTTTAGAATTTTGGTTGACATTTCATGAGTTAACCCACCTACTGTTTGTCTGAACGTGTCCCCGCACCCCCTGTTCTCGTGGACTCAGCACAACCTGATAAACGCGTGCTACGATCCAATCCGATCTCCGCTAGCTGCACAGCGTCTGAAGTGCATGCGTAGTGCCGAGACGATCAAAGATGGCATGTATAGACTACCTTTCAGCCGTCACAGGCGACGTCGTTAATTGCCTGCTTCATGAGGCGGAGGCAGAAGCGGTGACTTGAGTATGAATTCGTCTACGGTACAGAAAATCAGTGAATCACATACTGATTTCAAGACAACGCAACGATGACGGGGTGGACGGGGGAACAAACACGCGGGCCGCTCCCAAGACCA